GGGGGGGTCGGGGCGGGGGAAGAGGCAGGTCGCTTAAGGAGAAGGGCAAAAGGAAAAATTATGAGCGAAAAGGTCGAGGAGGGCCAAGGTTGAGAAGGTATGTCCAAGGTTGATGGTGAAAAGGAGGAAAAGGGTTGAGAGGGATGAGGGTAAGGAGAGCCAGGGCAAATGAGAGAAAAAAGGGTTGGTTTGGAGGGTGGGTCAAAGGCAAGCCGAGGGAGAGGAAACCAACACACGTGCGCTTTCTCCCCACGAAGCAGCCTGGCACCTTAAGACTGGGCCGTCAATACAGAGGACCTGCTGATCCATATACTTAACAGTAAACACAAACCATGCGCGCAGAAAAAGGCTGGCCTGAGAGTTCGTCCGCAAGAGATAATGACGAGCGAGGAAAGAGCGAAAGCCAGAAAACAAAGAAAACAAGGCAAACGGGAAGGACTAGTGACCAAGACTATTTTCCGGGGCGACAGGGAAAGGGTTATTACAAAAAATAAAAACACAAAAAGACCAGTACTAGGTGAAAAAGAGGCTTGAAGGGAGTCTGTGAGAGTCAGGCAGGCAGACATCTGTAGGGGCCGAGAGCAGTGTATATGTTCTCATGCACAGGGACCATATCCTCCTCTTACACCTAACGCGTCTTCTACACATTATTGGGTGGAAAAAAGGCCAAGGCAAAGAGTCGTCGAGTGATGATGATGATCCATAATTCGAAAAAGTAAACCAAAGGAAACGTTTCAGGGGACAAGAAGAAAGAAGAAGGCGAAAACGACAAGTTCCGCAGGGCCCAAGATTAGCTTGCTGGCGTCAGTTCTCCAACCCAACAATTCACGATATCATTGAAGGGGATTGCAGTTGATTACTAGATTCGATTGGCTGATTGACAGATGAATTATTACACCGATTGACAAGTTAATTAATTTGCTGATGACAATCTTTGCTCATTGAAAACAATTCAAGCAGCAGGCATACAAATAGAAGAATCCCAAAGACGAACCTCAACCCTGGACTATCACTCAAGACTAACAATATCAATAAATACACAGAAAAAAAGACGACCATCCATACCAAACAGGCCTTCCGTCATCATTACACTCCATACTCGTGCACAGTTGACGATAGCAAGATTTACGCGAAAGGTCAAAGAAATTCGACGCTACACTTCCGTGAACATCCCATCTCCTACAAACACATTCTTTCTCCTTTATGCACCGATTTCATTCGCTAATGCTTTAATGCGGCCATTTCGACTGCTTGCTAAGCTCACTTCCCCACTCGCCCCCTTGTCCCCCATCTTCCCCACAAATGATCGCATTGAAAGAAGATCAGGCGACAAACAAAACCCTGCCTGCCTACACATTTACAAGCATCCACAGTCCTTGGTCACGCGCCACCGCCAATCATTAGAGCCCGCTAACCAGACATTTCAAGGTCGTGACGTCAAACAGAGTAGTTGAGAGAAACCGACAGACGAACAACGACACGACGGCGGAGCATCTCGTTGGCAAACAAGTAAGGCCAAGGGCAAAGATTTCCAACACGAACATGGAGGGTGAGGGCCGACCACGAGGGAGAGCGAGGAAAGCAGACAGAAAAAGAGAGAAAGAAAGGGAGAGAGAGGGAGAGGAAGGGAGAGGGACGGCGAGGCAGGGAGAGGCAGGGAGGGCGGAAGAGGGAGGGAGAGGGAGGGAGGTAGAGGGAGAGAGGTAGAGGAGGGAGAGAGGAGAGCGAAAGGAGAAGGCAGAGAAAGAGCAGAGGAGTGAGGGAGAGAGGGAGAGGGAGGGAGAGGAAGAGGGAGAGAGGAGAGAGGAGAGGAGAAAGGAGAGAGGAAAAGAGGAAGGGTAGGAGAAAAGGGGAGACGGAGAGGAGTGAGGGAGTGAGGGAGAGGGGGAGGATCGAAAAGGAAGAGAAAGGGAGAGAAAAGGAGAAAATGGTAGAAAAAAAGGGAGGGAAGGGGAGAAAGACAGAAAGAGAAAGGGGGAGATAGGGAGAGAAAGGAGCAGAAGAAGAGAAAGGGATAGACTAAGGGACAGAGAAAACGACAGGGAGAGAGAAAGGAGAGAGAGAGAGCGAAAGAGAGAGCGAAACGGAGAAGGAAAGAGACAGGAGAGCCCGAGGAACAGCTGGCATAGATTAAAAAGAAATATAACTAGTCAAACCGAGTGGGAACATTTAACTGTGCCTGTGGGTGGCCCAGTGACCGTACACGAAAATATGGGGAGCCTTTCTCACCCCCCCCCGCCCCTCGCAGCAGAATACAAACAAGCGGAGGACATCAATAACAGATTCTTACAAGCAGTCGTCATCGCAGAAGATCAGCGCGGCGTTATTGAGCACCCCCGAAACAAACCCTAAACTTGTCACAACCTCTCGCAGAGGACACAGCCCTCACGAGCATGCCATTGAAAACACCAACAACAACTATTTAATTCGCCCACAACCCCTCTACTGGGTCCCGCACAGAATAAACAACAAGCCCGCCGTTAACAAAAAGGCTAACATCGGAACAAGTGCATTTACGCAAAGAAAAGTGACTTGGAATACTTACGAGATGCAGAACATCGATGCTCACTTGGCCATCCTCGACTCCCTCGATGGTGACCAGGAGTACATTACTGGCGACGTCACCGGAATTCTTGCTCGTCACAATCTCTTGCCTCGTGGAGTACTGAAGATAAACAGCTTTCCCCCTAACCTGGGCTGGCTCGGAGGACGAAGCAAAGTACGACACCATGGCGATGGCCTGATTGAGGTCCGCCTGCGCAATGTACCACCCCAACCACGAGAATAACACCGCAATGTACTTACTTCCTTCAATCAGCAGCATCAACAGATAATCAAAGTCTCGTATGTATGATATCCGACGCAAAGTCAAGTTCAGCACTCCGTCGACGCGGCCATTTCCCTCTTTCGAAAGCACAATAGCCAGATCAATCAAAGACGGCAAACACACAGCAGTCGCGCGTCACAGGTAGAAAGCACAATAGCCAGATCAAAGACGGCAAACACACAGCAGTCGCGCTTTACAGGTAGGTAGAGCTCTCGCTCTCGAGTTCGGGTCAATGTCCCTAGATGGATGATCACGAGGACTCCGGCCAACAGGCTCTCAGCAGCAACCCAAAAAAAAACACCGCATAAGCCCAGAGACCCTTAGTTCCTCTGAGAACAGGCCATACATGACCCCGCCCTTTGCCAGATGAGGACTACAGACGGGCGAGACGAGAAACCGCTGAGCTACCTACCCCAGAGGGAAAGGCAAACCAGACAAAGCACAGAAAAAGGGATGATCGTAGACACGTGTGTCGGACACCCTTCATACGCGTACGTGCAGACAACGGGGAGGGGAGGGTGGTGAGGACGGCAGAGCGCTTCACAGCAATTATTACGACAATTCCACCAGTTGAGCTGGCGACTCAATAGGACGGTGGTGGCACTTGGAGAATGAGACGGAGCACGTCGGAGGGGAAAACGACCAGCAAAGAAAAGCTGGAATAACGTAACACAAGTGCCCAGCGAGCTGTATCCGGCCTGAAACTGCACGGCCGTGAGACTTTGGGCCCAGGTGGGAGGCTGGGCCCAGGGGGCAAGTAAAGACTACATTCGACGACAGAGTGCCGAAGAAGACGGGGCAATAAAGACGGGAATTCTTCCCCCATGGCAGGTAAACGAAATCGATCATCGGAGAGGGGAAATATTTCAGACCTGACGAATGTTCGATGAGAGGCCCGTCTACTTTCATGACAGGAGAAACCCGTTACTACTGACAGAAGGGACACGCGTGCCCGGTTTCCCCCAGACGAGAGCGTTGAAGAAAATACCGAGGCAAACATGGAGACCCACATGCGCGGCTCAGCGGCGACAGGACGACGGAGGACAGATGAGAGCCCTGACGACACCCTTCGAGTACACGTGCCAGCGGCTAGACATGCGATATGCCACACGGACTAGAGGAGACTCCGAGAAGAACAGCGACAGAGAGCACAGGTGGATGGGGGGGGGGTTCGTTACGCTACAGAAAAGACCGGGAAATGTCTCCGACAGTGCGTCAGATGGGGGGCACTGTGCGATAAACCAGCGACAAAACTGTCTTCTCAGTGATGGAATAAACGTACGAGATCAAACAGAAGAGGAAACGGAGGTGCGTGATCACGCCGCCGCTTTAAAGACGGAAGGAAAGGTGGTGAGGCTGGTACGACCACAGAGAAGAATTGGGCATTCAACGTTGGCTTGTCCCAACGTGACGTGGACGCAGGAGGATGGAGGTGGGCATCAGGATTGGGAAAACTATGAATGAGAGGGACACAAGCCGAGAACCAAGCAAGCACTAAACACTACGCAGCATGTACTTAAGAATGTCAGACGCGAAGAGGAAGCGTGCAAGGGAAGGAATGGACGAAGACGAAAACCCTATGCCGATCATATAACTACAAAGACATAGCAATCCAGAGATTTTACAGAGGATGATACAACGACATAGCAATCGCGATCAAGAGGGGGGACCACCGAGAGAGGACCGACCGATGACCACTGACTATCCGCGACAAGCGACGCAACATCATCGACAGTTTGCGGAGATCAGGGCACAACACCGAGAGCGATATAGTAGTCATACACGGAGCCCTAGAAACTAATTAGACGGCATGTGCTACTGTGAACGCTGCTGAGCCCTCAGAGCCATTCGCGCACCATCCACAAGTACCAATGGCAGTGATGATCTGGACTAACCACAGCTTTGGCGGCGATGGCGGAGTTAAGGTCCTCAGACGCGTTAAAGAGACCGTGAATGTATGTAAAGACTGAAATGCACGGGTTGTCCCTCGTACGCTCATATTTCAACCTATCGGCGGAGACCATCGTCAGCGACTGCGGTTCCTAACGGGGACATAAGACGGCACAGTATGACGGGGGGGATATAACACGGCACTTCAAAGCTACCGACAACAAGACATGGATGCTATACTCCCTCCATGAGGCAAACAAAAAGAGTGCTACTTCACGAGGAAGCTACCTCAATGAATGATGAGCACATGCAAAACCGCACGAGACGCCTTTCTAGCACCTTGGCGGTCTCGGAACGAAAAGACGAGGGGTGAACTCCCACCGTGTAAGCTCTGCCACGATAGAGCACAGCGGTAGTAGAACCCAGGCCTCAAAGACCGAGATAAGGCGCCCGCATACCAGGGCACGACCAAACTCAAGTGACGCCTCACAACAAAACCATGGAGGCGAGTGGAAATGTCATGGAGCACGAGCAGACGTATACACGGGAGACGCCTGGCAGCCCATGCGGACAGATGGATACGGGAAAGGGCGCTCAGAGTAAAACGGCGGCGGCTATCGTAACCTTCTGGGCGTTGGAGGAGGGACGAAGCAATCGCGAAACGTTAGCCTGTGTCTGGGTCTGGTAGCCAAAGGATGGGTGCCATCGTCGGTGGACAGAGAATTCCCAGCCGAGGGGCATCCCTTGCAGAGCGTGTGAATGAGGAGAAAGCCTTTGGCTGAGCTTAGCATGCATGCTGCAGTGCTACTATCCCGTGTTACTAAAGAAGTCCTACCGAGAGGCCATAGTCCGCGTTGGGACGCGTTACCTGCCCAGATGCCAACCTCGGTAATTACGGCAGATTCCCAAGTGCGGGAACCCCTTCGCATCTACCGCAACCTTGGAAACCACGGGAACCTCGTTGAACAAGCCAGCCGCCATGCACCGACCTTGGGTATGCGCATATGAGTGTGCGGGCAAACCATGGGATGACGGATGCGACAGGCCCAATAGAGGAATGAGCTATGAGAGTTCAGGCCCATCAGCGGAGCGAGGGCTAACACACGGCGTGGTGATGACTATGGCACCTGCAGCCGTGACAGCAGTACTACATTCCCAACAGCTAAGGCAGCCTGGGCGCCGGCGCACATCCGGAGAGGAAGGCAGGATTCCGAGCAGAGCCCCCAAGGTGTGAACAGACAGTGTTTCGCTGGAAGAAAAAAAAATCCGGCGGGTAACCATTCGCAATGGTCGCAGCCCTAAGGACAAGAAGTCCGCGACCTGCGCGCCGCCCAGGTAGGCGGGGTGATCGTGCAGTGGCGGCAGAGCACGCCCCACCGCGATGCAGCAGATCGAGAATGAAGAAGAGCGCGGCGAGGATGTGCGGCACGGCAACGGCAGTTTTCCCGGTGAGCACTTCGCGGAGGAAAAGCGCTCCCCGCGCGCGGAGCTCATTAACTTGCTATACGTGATGTTGCACGAGGACAGAGACGACGACAGTGAAAAACGAACAAGGATTTCAGGCGAACCTATACTAAAGAAGAGTGAAAAAGATGAGAGAACACTTTGGAGGGGAAATTAATAAAACAGAGAGCTAGGCGAGACAAAAGAGTGGACAGGCGGTGATTGCAAGAGAATAAATGCACGGATTAAAAACGGGGGGACTAGACCGTATGCAATGGTACTAAAATAGGGGGACGATAAGAAGAGAGATAGAGGAGGTTCGTTCGCTTACCATCTCCACGAAGGCTTGGTTGTGGTTCGCGCCAACATTCAGCTTGGTATTAACGACTCTGCCAAAAGGCTTACAAAGTTCCAAGAGCTCCTCTTCCGTACACTCCCATGGGAGATTCCGGATGTGTATCACCTTCGATGGCGGCTGCGTGTACCGAAACTGCGGCTGGCTCCCACTCCCACTCATGGTAATAGCCCCCTCCAGCCCCACCTTTGATTAGTTGCAGCAATTCCTCCTCTTCCGCTGCCTAAATTTGTTCGCGTCGCCGTCGTCGTTCCCCTGCACACGAGTCTTCTCTCTCTCTCTCTCTCTCTCTCTCTCTCTCTCTCTCTCTCTCTCTCTCTCTCTCTCTGTCTCTCTCTCTCGCCCCCCCCGTGTCTGTGAGTGACTGTATGTCGTGCGTGCAGTACTCAATCAAAGCTCAGCTTGCACGCGTAAACACGGGCATACAAAACAGGATATCGAGATGTGCATCCGTCTTGTACTTCCCTAGCTACCCAAGGGCCGTCGCCGCCAACGCCATAAACTCTCTCTCTCTCTCTCTCTCTCTCCCCCGCACGCAAACACCAAGCGCACAACTCTCTCTGCGAGTTCCCGGTCGCAGACCCCTCTGGATCACCCAACACTACAGGCCATGACACTGCCAATCTTTTGGTCGAACTGCATCCGCGTCTCAAGTTCTTCCACACACTCGAATCTATCCACTCCTTCGTTACCGTCACTTACTCCAGACTACGCGAGCAGCTCCCCTAAACTCGGCACCACGTTATCTATTGCACGCTCACTCGACGGACGTGGAAGTCGATGGGCTCCGATATCACACTGCAAAATGTCACTGGGAAAACAGGAACCATGTCACAGCAAGCTCCGAGAGGCCGGCAATGGTGGCGGTAGCGACGTAACAAGGACGCGCAAGTCGCGCACCAAGCAGTTGTCCTCGTAACCAAGAGTGATTTCTCGCCTTGGCAAGAGTGGCTGCGGTGGGTTGAATTAGAGTCGGACTTTGCCGTACCCCGCTAGAGGTTCGGTAAAATCAGCACCCAATGAGGCAGGCACTCGAGACGACCGACGAGGTCGTGGAAGGGACCAAACCACGCCGGCACCGCTACCACAGAAGAAAAAAACTGTACGGCGAAAAGAAGACACCGGCAACACCGCTCGTTTGAATCCGTCCCTACCGGTAGCTAGCATGTTGTCGCCTGGCATCTCTCCGTCCTGAATCCCCAAGAAACATTCAGTAGTATATCCCTGAGCGGCTCCCCCTCTTTGTGCATATACTCTTCTCGAAAACCACACAGCGACCTGGGCTTCTGGACAGCCGTAGCTTGTGGACTTCAAAGAAATTTTCCTAGGAACCCTAGTATGTTCATAATTACAGGCCGCACTCCGTCGGCTGCCTCTTTGTTTGTCTACCGCACCGTAAGGACTACGTACTTCTTTTGGGGCTTTTTCTGCCAAAGAAAGAGAGAGTGATGACAGAGAGGAAGGGTGTGTGTATGTGTGCATGAGAGAGAGAGAGCCTCTGCTTCTCAACCCAAGATGTAGGGCATCAGGGCATAACGTTTGTCCATCTGGGAGCATGGGCATCTCTCTTTTTCTTTGTCTCTATTTCTGCCGAGATACAATGAGAGAGGGAGGGTGAGTAGCTATGCGAATTGGAATATTCACAACTCCCCAAACAGAACAGCTGCCATAATTTGCATTTTTGGATGTGTGTGTGTGTGTGTGTGTGTGTAAAAGAGAGAGAGAGAGAGAGAGAGAGAGAGATTCGGGCCATTGAAACGGTCGCTGTGCGCCTCTCACTCTCTCTTTCTCTCCTTTTTCCGAGACAAACGGGCAAAGAGGAGAGGAGGAAGGAAGGCGAATGTCATTGAAACGCATATGTGTGCGCGTGTATGTGTGTGTGTGTATGTGTGTACGTGTGAGACAAAGAGAGAGAAGGGAGAGGGAGAGATTCATAAGATGGAACCCAAACATTGATCCTGCTTCTCGGCCCAACTTTCAGGTTATTTTGCCATATCACACGCGTTGTCGAGCGCAACGGTCCGTACTGCCGAAGCACACGAGGGACCTTCACGACTGTGTCACGCATGATTCTTGAATAGAAAGTTAGTGACCTAGGAAACCATTAGAGTCAAGTGCGTCAGCTATGCCTCTCACAACCCCCTGTAATAGGATAGGGCGTCTTCAAGCACAACTTACCTTTATCCAATGAGTTGTTATCACCCTTAGAGCGACTTTTAATTATCATACCAAAGGTAAGTCACCCGATAATGTTTAAAGTCAGTTTTAGCGTAGGTATAAGCTCGTCATAATATCTTAGGATACGGTTTGTGCTTCCCGAATCAATCTTTGGACCAACTTGCTAATATATTGAGTCATGGGGCACTTACCTCTCGGATCAATCAGTAATAAACTCGGTTTGTGTCCTCACTTTTAATTTTGAATATGTTTGTCGTTTTTGCCCATAACTTTATCGTAGGTATACGATAGATGAATTGTGCGTATAATCAGGTTGCAATATTTAAGTGATGTTATAACATTTCGCCAGACATGCATTCGTAATATTTTGTGCCGAGGAATTTTTTTATGCAATGCATCAAGTTGTACGACCTTTTGTTGGTTGTGGGCCCCGTGTGATGCTTCAGATATCAACCCAACGAAGTAACCGAACTTTTTTCTTATTATTTTGAGCGGTCGAAAAATAAGAATTTTTGACTTTGATTCATGTGATCCAAAGTAGCTGAAAAGACAGTTGCTCAATCTCCACGCCCCCTGCTTTGTGCACAAATCGTGGTGGTTGGCAACAACCATAAATCCTTAATGCTGAGGAGGATCCTATGTGTTCGACAACGACCTTGAATCTAATCGCAGACTTACCATCAAACTAATCAATATAACAAATAATATCAATCATCTAGTTAGGTCGAGGGTATTTTTCCTTACTTTATGTTCTTAAAAATAAATACAATCTCAACCCTAATAATCATATTTTTTTACTTTCAAGGTTAATCTTATATATATTATGATAATCAAGTAATATATGATTTTACATCAAGGCTGGAGTAATTGAATAATCTCACTCTTATAGTTGCTGCTTACCCAATTAATTTTTATAAGATAAAATCACTCGAGTCAATCATTTAAGATTGCTCAGGACATAGTTGCATAATGCAAAAACGAAGACATGTCATTCACTAAACTAACTTAACTCCTATTCTCACCTCGTTTTGTCCCTTACTACTCAAACATTTTTCAACAGTTATATTAAGACCTCAAAATTTTCAACCCACCCCACTTGCTATTTTTCAATGATTTTAAAATCAAGCAATGACAACTTAGACAAAACCGTAAAAAAAAAACATTTTGCCCACAGAGTTTAATATTAGGTGTGGGTGTCAAGCGGAAGGTTGAATCAACAACCTGACTTGTTATCTAGTGATGATACACAATATAGCTATACACTTTTTTTTTTTTACGTTTTTTTTTTAACTATGTTTTTAATAAAGATGGGATATATCCACATATGCAAATCAACATAATCTCAACATTCTTCTTTTATTAAGTTTTATCATGTCAGTTTATGAAGCTCACATCTTCATAAACCTAACGAAAAATTATTCATAATTTGACATTATTTTACAATTTTATTTATAAAAATTATTAACGGACGAACTTCAAAATGAAGTCTCAAGATGAGATTGAAGATCTAACTAATTTTCCTCACTCATTTTAAATATTTTCATTATAAACATATAATTTATATTTTATCTAGGTTATCAAAGTGGTCGGAGGTCCCTTGCCCGGCTGGGCCAAAAATAATTAAAAAAAATAATAATAATAAAATTACTCTAAATTTGGTGAAGAACTTCGATGTGACCTTGAAGCAAAAGTTGTTCAATTTAGTTTTCTGTATAACATAGTTTTTTTTTCCAGATTTTTTTAAATTGTTTTTTTTTTTTTTTTGCTGGGACTTTCCCTGTTTCTTGCACGGGGTGGCCACATATGACCCGGGCGGCTGGTACCATAGGATTTTATTCTATAATACAATCTCTCAATTTATTATTAATTCGGTCGATTTGTGTTCTTACATGAGTTCAAATATTTCGTGCGTGTCTATGTCGTCATAGTTATGAAAAAATATTATTAGCGTAAGATCAAGTAGTTTAGTTGTGTGTTTATGAACTGCCTTTTTTGTCATATAGGCACTATGTAGTTGTGTAGTTATGAACCGCCTTCATTATCATATAGGCACTGAGCCACAATAACTATATAAAGTAGTTTAATAATGTAGTTGTGTGTTTATTTGATTTATAGTTTATCTTTGTTTGAATGAAGAAAAAATATGATTTAAAAACATACTAACTTTGTGTCGGATCCGTCGGAATGGTGATTCGTCAGGATAGCGACGAATGGTTTAGAGAGGAGGAGATGGAGATGGAGCTGAAAAGGACAGCGCAACTCCGACGCGAACTCAACATGCACATATTCCAAAATGTATCGAATCAGGAATGACCTGAAAACAGACAACAATCGAGGTATAGTCCTAGCGGACTGGCTGGACTGGACTGGACTAGCCTGGTACCGGGCAGAACTGAACTGGACTGGAACACATGGTCATCGTTGCCACGCTCCTCGTCGCTGCCCTAATCCTCGTTGTCGTCGTTGTCAGGTAAGCAACAAAATTTTACTTATGTATTTTTACTTATTTCTCTTCATTTTTCTTCTTCTCATCTTCTTCTTTTTCCTTTCTATTCTTCTTCACCCAGTCTTTTCTTTCCCTTTCAAACCGAAATCATTTCCCATTCGAAATCGATTTCAAATCGACATTGAAATCGATTTGTGGGGTCAGGCGGTGGGTGACCTGGTCCCACAGGCCGAACAGGCAAAAAACCCGATATGCCCTGTCTGCAGACCAGGGCAGATAGAGGTCCGTTGCACGATCCTCATACCTGTAGTGAGTCGCAATAACCATAAACACACTATCCTTAAAAGCAGCGGAACTCTGCAATAAAGAACGCAAAGAAATCTAGGATGCGGAGCAAGCTCTATGAGGAGTCCATGCGATGCAGCTTAAGCTACATAATGTCAAATAAAAAACAAATGTCTGGTATACACATTTTGACTAACAACAAAAAGTGACATGTAGCATGGTACAATCCTAAAGTCCTAGAGGCAATTGCCTTAGTGCTGAAAGAAAAAAAGAACAATATGTCATAAGTAAAGTCATGTCGCTGAACCACTAAGGGTGGAATGGTCTCAGAGGGGATGAATGCAGCCTACGAATTGAAACTCCTAAGGGAAGTTACACACGAAGAGGGGATAGGTCATCAGGCTCAGAGTGAGGGAGTGGTAGTGAGACAAACCAATGACCCTAACAAATAGACCATAAAGGCGGGTAATGCTCCATGAAAGGATGATACCATGCAGGGGTGACCATGAAAGGGAAGTCTGCAATAAGGTGGACATATGCCTAAAAGAAGGCATGGAATGACCGACACTAGGGTGATGAGGGATACAATGGTTGATGGAAACATGCACAGAACTCACCGACTGGGGGAGAGAGCTATATCTGAGAGTAAGGAAGCCAAGATAACGCTACGGTCTCAATGCCTATGCGATACCAAGGGAGAGTCCAACTCATAGAGACCCAACTAAGTAAAAACCATCATGCGACACATGCAAGGGAATGTACATGGTAGAGTGGTGGCATGAGGAAGTCACATCCAAAGTAGTTGAAGTCGATAACTTGAAGGTAGCTGAACTCGAGAAGGTAGTTGAAGTCGTCGAAGTGGTTGATGGTGTCGATGAAGTAGGAGTTTAGTCGATGTCGAAGCGGAGCTGCAAACGTTGACATCATGAAGAAGCTGATGATGAAGTATCTGAAGGTGTGAATCAGAAGGAAGAAGATAGGTGATCAAAGTGTCAGTCGTCGAGACGACAAGGGCGTCGACGAGTGCACTGTGGACGCATGGAGGCATCGGGCTGATGCTGAAGAACAGCCTCAGAGGGAGCGGGTTCGTCCTCAGCCATCTCCTCGGCCGGAGGAGGAGAAAAACGACCAGTCGGCTGAGTAAAAGCGGATGTCTCAGCACGACGATCACTGTCACATGCACGAACGAACATTCGGGCGTGCTCCAAGTGCTCGA